GATCGATCCATGGGATCCTTATTGTGAAAAATAATGTATTGTTGAATTTTGTGGCGAGTTGTAATATTTGAGCACTTGATGTGCAATCAGTGATAAATTGTAATATTTGAGCACTTGATGTGCAAATATGTGATATGTTGTAATATTTGAGCACTTGAGGTGCAATTTACGAGATGTGATACTGGCACATTATATTGTTGGGAAGTTTTGTTCGAGTGTTTGCATGAGATTTTTGCCGTGCTATTATTACTATTGATTTATGCACATGCGGCGTGACAAAGCAGGCNTGTGTGTGTGTGTGTGTGTGTGTGTGTGTGTGTGTGTGTGTGTGTGTGTGTGTGTGTGTGTGTGTGTGTGTGTGTGTGTGTGTGTGTGTGTGTGTGTGTGTGTGTGTGTGTGTGTGTGTGTGTGTGTGTGTGTGTGTGTGTGTGTGTGTGTGTGTGTGTGTGTGTGTGTGTGTGTGTGTGTGTGTATGTGTGTGTGTGTGGGTTTGCGCATGTGGCAAGACAAGGTAGGAATATTATTATATGCGTGTGGCGAGATAAAGCGGACATTTACTTTATTATTGCACGTGGCGAGACAAGGTGGGCTATGTCGGGAATTGAATTGTGATGATTTGTGATAGCCTGAGGGCATTGTTGTTTGTTGCATATTTACTTTGGGACTTCGAGGCGGTACCTCGGGAGATCCCCCTATCTTGCATATTTACTTTGGGACTACGAGGCGGTACCTCGGGAGATCCCCCTATTTTGCATATTTACTTTGGGACTACGAGGCGGTACCTCGGGAGATACCCCTCTCTTGCATATTTACTTTTGGGATTACGAGACGGTATCTCGGGAGATCCCCTGTTGAGCATTTACTTTTGGGACTACGAGGCGGTATCTCGGGAGTGCCCTTTGTTGACATCTCTCTATGGTTGCACTTGTCTTTGGTTATTTTGTATTTCTGTGATAGGTCAATCCTTGTGATATGCCGTGATGTATTATTTGATTTTTTTTACTATGTGTTTGTATCCCTTGTTGTTTTGTGTTGGCTTGGGCTTTTTAGTACGAGACCCTAAAGATTTATATTCCTGATTTTTACAGATTTTCGATGACTGAGTTATTTTAAATAAAAGAAGTTACTATTATGTTTTGAATTAATAAGTTTTACATCCGAAGCAATAGATTATCTGATGTTTTATTTAAATTTAAATGTCATTTTTCTTTACTCAAACTATTTCTAAAATAAACTCATTTCTTTTGTTGAATTCTTACTTGGTTTAAAAATTGTAACCTTACTTTATTGAAAATAAATTAATCGTGCGGATCTTATGTATTGAAATAGTTGGTACGATAGTTATTTGTGCGGTTGTGATTAGAAATATGGGAACGAGGTGCCGTGAGAATATAAAAGGGGATCGAGAACCGTATTTTATGATTATGCTATGAGATACTTATTTGAAGAAATATAATTGGAGGAAATCTATTTGAAGAGATTATATGTGAAAGACTTGTTTAATTGGTCATACTTGTGTTCCTTATTCTTTTGAGCAATAATTACGATGTTCTTGTTGCCCTGATATTATATAACTGGTTGATTTTGTTGCTATCATTGCTAGTTATTTTCCAGTACTATTGTATACTGTTATATTCCACAGGTTAGTTGACTAGTGAGCGTATTGACTGTACCTCGTCACTACTCCATTGAGGTTAATCTTGATACTTACTGAGTACCGACTGTGGTGTACTCATACTATACTTCTGCACATTTTTGTGCAGAGCCAGGTAATGTGGAGTCAGTTGACCGTTCGCTAGCAGTACGGATCTTGCTGTGGAGACTCAAGGTAAACTTGTCGCTGCGTTCGCAGGCTTTGGAGTCACCTTCTGATATTGTACTTGCACTGTTTTTCTCTATTTCAAAACAGTTGTATTTATAGGTCTTTCTAGTAACTGAGTAGATCTTATGACTTGTACTACCGGTTTTGGGAATTATAAATTTTATAGAGATTTCTATTTCAGAAATTGTTAGATGTTATTAAATTATTGTTGGTATTCAGTAAATATTAGGCTTACCTAGTCCCTAAGACTAGGTGCCATCACGATACCCAACGGAGGGAAAATTGGGTCGTGATAAACTCGAAATCTCCAAATGATCAAACTGCTGAGATAATCAACACACACCGTGTCCGTAACACCTAGATCTGCACACTAAGTGCAGGGTATAGCGTAAATACAACCAATACAGTAAGTAACAACACTAACTATTGGACTGCAAGTAGTGATGAGCTTTACGGAGACAGTTCAATTATAGAAAATTACAATACAGGAAAAATAGGCATGCTTTCAAGTTCGACATATAAAGCCAAAACAGTTAATTCATGTCAAGTTCAATTGAAACAGGATATGACATCTCTCAAAAACTACATGACAGTGATATATGCCAGCTGAAGTACACAGTAATGATATCAAGTGCATAATCTCAGAGTTACATTCACTCAGTCCTCCCATTCACTCCAACCTCCCAGTCACTCATTCCTCACAGTCGCTCGGCACTCGTGCTCGCCACTCGCACTCGCACACAGTAGGTACCTGGGTGTGCAGACTCCGGAGGGGCTCCTTCAGCACAAGCGCTATAATAAGACAATCATGGCATTAATCAATAAAACATATTGCGGCGTGCAGGCCGATCCAATAAATATCTTCATAATCAGGCCCTCGACGTCACTCAGTCATCGATCTCTCCAGTCTCTCGGGCTCTCAATTATCATGATAATCAGCTCAAACGGTGATGATATAATGTATCAATAAGGAACAACAGAGACTGAGATATAATATGCAAGTAAAAACTATGACAGAGTACAAAATGACAATTTAGCAGATAATTCAACATGTAACACGACCTCTGTGGGTCCCTACCGAACCAACACATAGCCTATGCATGACATCTAACATGATTTTCACTTCAGTTTCTTTAACACATGGGAAATATCCGGATAACAACAGATTATTCAACTATACAGTTTTCATGGAATGGGCCAAGTCACAATTACTATGGTGCACGCCTGTCACCTAGCATGTGCGTCACCTCAATATCATCATAAGACACGTAACTCGGGGTTTCATGCCCTCAGAACCAAGTTTAGAACTGTTACTTACCTCAAACCGTGCAAATCCCTACTCCAACACGCCCTTTCCTTGCGAATCAGCCTCCAAATGCCTCGAATCTAGCCACAAACAGTGCGATACAGTCAACACGAGCTAAAGGAAGAATCCGGAACCAAAGTATGGTTCATTTGGACTCAAGAGACAGAAATATGTTAAACAAAAAATTGGGCACCATTTTATATATAGCGCGGTTATAGACCGCGCTATACCTTAACCGTAGTTTTCTCTGGTAAGGTATAGCGCGATTATTCACCGTGCCATATTTGAACTTAAAATGGGCGGGAGGATATAACGCGCATATATAAGACGCTATGGTATAGCGCCTTATATATGCGCGCTTTACCTATATAAAAAAAGTGTGCCATCTCCTTCCCCCACCAGACGCGAACCAGCAGACCCCCAAACCAAAAAATTGGTCCCCCTCAATTTTTAAAGAAAACAAACTCAGTGGAGCCCACCCATCCCACAAACAATTTATCTTGTCCGTACCGTTGCAAGCTAACACCGGATCTAAGGCGTTATTGTGTAGTGGTTTGCTCGTTTCGGCCCCCAAATCATCAAATATTTAACTTTCAAAAAATTATAAATCGAGGTATTCCGAATTATTTTTTGTCAAAACTCACGTATAAAAAATGCGTATTAGTTATTTTTTTTATTGTTGTCTATGTTGTTTTTGTGATTGTTTTGTGATTTCATTAATTTGTCATTTTTTATCCGGATTAGATTATTTGTGTGCTAAATAATTAGTGAAATATAGAAATTATTATTTTATGAATAATTAATGTTATTAGATGTTATAAAAAATATTTATTAGTTGTTTTTTAATGTGGTATATGTATTTTCGTGATTGTTTTGTGATTAAATTAATTTTTTATATTTTATCCGGATTAGATTATTTATCGTGTATTTATTTTTTATCCGTATTTTATTGTTGTGCATATATTAATATGTGACTTTATTGTTGTTTAGCGCACTTTAGTGTTATATTGTGCTCGTAATTTTAATGTAGTGCCCGTAATTGTAATGTAGTGGCCTTTAGCGTAGTTAATTGTAGTGCCCTTTAACTTAGTATCTTGGTAATTATTGAAATTGATTATTTAATTATCTTTTAATCCCAAAAATATCTAAAAAGGATGATAGTTCAAACACAAACTCTCTCGAATGTTAGTCAACAAATGTAAAAAACTAACATAAAAAACATATAAAATAAGAAACATATATACAAAGTAATAAACAAATATAGAAAGTAATAAATTAACATATAAAATAATAAACTAACATATAAAATAATAAACTAACATATAAAATGATATACTAACATATAAAATAAGAAACAAACATATAAAATAGTAAACTAACATATACAATATTAAACAAACATATAAAATAATAAACTAACATATGACATAATATAAAAGATATCGATTAAATATTAATATTAATATAAACTAACATATAAAATAATAAACTAGCATAAAATATAGTAAACATATCGATTAAATATTAATATAAAAGATATTGCAATATATTTATAGATGTTAAGCAATTAAAAAGAAAAATACTATAATTAATAATGTTCAATTTACAGACATCGTCATGGAGGTTCCCCTTGTGCATCCCGGACCTGCATCTCTAGAGCTACTATTGCTACAGGCCAACCATAAGTCTTCATACATATGGGATGGGCAATGTTTGTCCCAGACATTCCGCCTCAGACGTATAGATGATATGTGGGAGTTCATTAAGGCTCGCCCACTCCATCCCCGTATAGTTAGACGCTTTCAGGATACGGGTTTCTATAGGATCATAGAGATCGGCCGGTTGTAGTTTGACTAGGCGTTGATCACAGCTATGATAGAGCGGTGGCGACCGGAGACGCACACGTTTCATCTACCCATCGGCGAGGCTACCATCATGCTTGAGGACGAGGAGGTTCTTTTCGGGCTGCCGGTTGATGGATTACCTGTAGCTTACCAGCATGCTCTCAGAGACTACAAGGGATTTCATTACATGCATATGTTACAGCGGCTCACCCGATTCCAGCCAGCGGAGGAGACTGCATTGAGTGGGGCCAGTCGTTTGCCGCTGACGCCCGTTCAGCAGCATCTGGAGGCGGTGGATGCGGAGATTACAGATGATTCACCGCCGGAGGTTATCGGCCGGCATACGAGATTGGTGTTGCTGCTAATGTTTGATGGTGTGCTGTTCCCGAACACTTCGGGAAACCTAGTTAGCTTGAGATTTCTACATCATCTTGAGCGGCTAGATGATTTACCTGGTTACAGCTGGGGTGCAACAGTTATAGGTTACCTGTATAGGCAGATGTGCCGGGCTAGCATGGGCACCCAGAGAGACGTTGCCGGATTTTTATCGCCGCTGCAGGTGAAAACATAGTCAATTATTTTAATGATTTTAACATACATAGTAAAAAAATACCTTAAATTTTACGTCCACAATCTATATTAGGTTTGGTCCTAGGAGCGGTTCCTGCAATTCCAGCCACCTCTACTACCCATCGCTTCGGATGTACCACCTCCATCATTTCTCCATTTAGCTTATAGGTGGGTTGATAGGCGAGGCTACTGATGCGAGTTTGAGGCTCGACATCATCTCCCCTATTACAAGGATTTGTTGGATTTGCTTGAAGTCGCGCAGGTACATGTATTCTTAAGTTTACTTGGCCTGGCTTTATATGTGTTGCGTTTACTCACGGTTCCTGTGTTTAATTAATAGTTCTTATGGAGGCCATACATTGACGCGCTCATAGCCGGTTTTCCTGATTATTGCTCCCGCGGCCGAGCTATGTGGAGCTCTTTCGTCCCACTGATATGTCTCGATATTGTCGAGCATTATGTCACCGAGCGAGTCCTTCGCCAGTTTGGTCGACCGCAGCTTGTACCTATTCCGCCAGCTTGGCTTAGGACATGTACCTGGGTAGAGATGCAAAGGACTTATCCCAGTTACCATAAATAATTTCAAAGGTATGTTTGCGCCCGAGAAATGCCTTTATTTTGGTAATGGTACACCCATATACCTGGTGGACAGATGTTTTACACTCTTTGATTTTGTACCTTATGGACGCTTCAATGAGTGGAATCAACACAAGAGAAATAAAGTCAACATTCAAGTTAAAATGATTCCCACTGTGTCCATTTCACAATTGTGGGTGCCAATGTATTTACCCACAATCCACATATTTGTTTTCAACTTTCTCGCACGCAACATCCAGTTACAACCTTGAAACCATCTACGATAAATAACTTTGTATGCATCCGGAGATGACTCATGAATCACAATCTCACGACACTCTTTTATGTTATACATTCACACCGCCTTGCTTAGGCGCGCTTTATCAGCAAAAAGCATGCCCTTTAACAGCACCATTGCCCTAGATTCATCCCACATTGCTGTCTGAATTTCATCAAGATCCCTTGTGAGGGCATCCACATCCGGCATACTTGGCAACTGATCAAGGTAGGGAATCCCTCTTGAATGAAACGACACATGGTAGTCGTACACTCTTGGTCTAACGGGAGGTGGAGCATGCTCCCTCGTCAAATCAGGTTCATCATTCTCGGCCTCATCATCATCACCCTCATCAGAGAAGGGTGTGTCATCTCCAGACTCATCAACATTGCTGTCATAATCACTATTATCTTCCTAACTCTGCACATATTCCAAATCCCGATTAAATATGTCGTCTTCAGGCAATTGAGTAAGGACATGACCTTCAAGTTGCTCGTTTTCAATGCATAACCAATAAAATAATGAATTTCTAAAATTCATCCAAACTTTACATATAAACTTTATCACTTAACTTACAAATCATAATGTGTTGATATCCCATGATGCACACTATCCTATTGGTGATGACTCCCGGATGGACCACCATGATCCAACACACCAAAACTAGCCATATTCCAACTGTCCGTTGGTTCACAACTTGTAAAATTCATATCTAGCAGGTACCCCCTTTGGAATATATGAGTGTTAATACAAATTCAATACATAAAAATAAATATCGTAACACAAAGAAAAATTGAAGTTTACCACTCGGCTTGTGAATTATGTAAACTTGGGGAGAAATTATGTCCTCAATCCTCATTCGCCCGTGGAGATAAGTTTAGATCAGGCCAAACTCTTTCACCCGGAACCTGCTCGGCTAAAACTGCTCCAAAATAACCATCTGATGATTGATGGATATCCATACTTTGCGGAATCTCATTATTGCGAATGTCTTCTGCCTTGACGTACATTTCCAACATTTTTATCACAAGAAGTTCTCGGTGTTCATCCGGAGTCCTCAAAAATCTTTCAGAGTTTTATCATCTTCGATGTTAAACTCACCATAACAAGCAACCCCTTACGGAGTAACAGAATACGGATATCTTTCGGTTACTTTAATATTCACCGAACATTTGCTCACACTCTTTTTTTTTTACATAACAACGATACCAATCTATCGTACTCCATTGTAAGTGGCAACTTAATATGACACTATGGAGAATAACTATAGCGTA